TCAATCATACCTTTTTCCCCCTCCATACTAGTCGTCCCAGTCCTATTTGTGGCATCATTCTTTCCAGGGATTCTAACCAATTCACTCTTCGTCCCAAAGAAAGGTATCCCTAAACTCCTTAATTTTCCATTCATCTCTCTGACCATTTGAGTTTGAGCTTTGTAAACTTTCATGTCGAATGTCTCTAGCTCTCTTGCCAATTCTTCGGGACTGGTGTTAGATGCCCCGCTTGATGTGGCTCCACCTACTGCTTTCCTGTATCGAGGTCAACCATTTGCATAACCGGAACTCGATCGATATAGTAGGACAACTCACAATACCTCTTCTAATTTCTTCTGTCCTTCCTTCCTAGCGGCTTGTCGCTCTATAAGAGCTTCTCTCGACTTCCACCATTGCTCTTCATGCTCATGTTGCACTTTGATCATCTATGTATATGTAAGCTCAAGTGAAATGCTTTACAACCAGGTAATAGATCAAGTCAGACTGCTGATAGCAAATACAACCAACCTTCCGAATTTCCTGGAGTACATAATCGTGTTTATTCATCGTCCTCATAACACATCGCAGGCCTGCACTCCAGTCAATGATGGTAGCTGGATCAACGGCCTTTGAATTGTTGATAGACTGTACTTGAGCTTGAAGCTGACCAGATTCACGATGTGGTATTGAAGGGGCTGCAGACTGAGACCATTGTGGTTGTGGTTGCTGTTGTTGTTGTTGCTGCTGCTGGATTGCTTGACCATGTGACGTGATATCTGGTGTTTGAGCTGAAGCTATTTGCGTGGAAGGTTGAGCTTGTTGTTGATTCTTAGCTTTTGCTAGATTTGCTAAGATTTCCATTACAGAAGCAAGATCTGGAGTTGTATTATTGGACGACATTTTGACGAAATTGATGAATTTATATTGATTTTATTGTTTCTTGATTGGGGATGGTAATGACTGACGGAAGGATGAAAGGTCGCAAATATCGCGAAGTTTATATCATCGTCCTTGCAAGTATCTCTATCATGAATTATGAGGCTTAAACACTTCTTGATGTTGATATCTATAAATGCTGTACCGAAGATGTATAAATTGGTCTCGAAGTGCTTTGATTTAAATTGAAACTGTACGAGTCCTCGAGTAATTATTGATAATTCAAAGAGCTTCCATCATCAAGTCTGTGTGGTATGGTATGGTAACCTTATTGCAGGGATGCGGAATGACCCGCCGCTAAGAAATCCCACTGGTCATTGACATCCTCGAAAAAAATCATTCGATAATGAAAGTTCTATCATAATCCTCCATTTTAATACGACGACGACGCCAGATTACGATATTTCTAAATCAAGATCCTCTTAATTAATATTTCAAAGGATGGCGCGCTCAGCAACAGATGCAACACGATTTACTTCGACAACCCCACACGCTGCTACAAAACCAAAACCCGTATCGAGAAATCCAGGACCACCAGGAGAGACACCGCAACAGAGAGTTAAGAGGTTAAGGGCTGCGGCAGATAAAGCTAGAGATGCACAAATTTCGACTTTTGACAAGTTCCTCTTAAGGGGAAGAGTGTGGGCAGATAAGGCGCATAGGTTTACAGCTTTCAGTTTGATTGGACTTACATGTATGATTTCCCCGCATCGTTGTCCGGTTCCAATTGGGAATCCATTGCTCTTGATTCGAGTCTGGAGGATCTGGTAACTTAAGCTGTACATCTGCTAATTGATTTCATTTAGTCATTGCCGGTGGCGTCACAGTCTATGCATTGGGAGATATGATGGTATACAATCGCAAAAAGCGCGCCGAGTTTTACGCAGAACAGAAATTCAAATATGCTATGGCACTTGAGAGTGCACAAACTGCCGCAGCATCTGGCACTGCAACCGAATCACAAATAGAGTTCTTGAACAGAGAAAAGGAGCGGGAACAGAAAGTGAAGATTGCAGAAGAGGCCAAAAAGAAGGCTCCCGGAGCATGGAAGAAAAGTAAGGATTGGTTATTTTCGGGCCTCAAGAAAGAAGAAGAGGGAGATAATGTAGGGACTAGTGAGAGAAGGCTAGGATATGAGGCATTGAGCGAAGAGGACGATAATCTTGGAGAGAGGGAAAGTGATGTTCTAAGAGCGATCGAGGAGAAGAAAATGGCAATACAAAATAAGGCCAAATCCGCATTTGAGGCAGAGAAGGAGAGACAGAGAAATGGTGGACCGCTGGATAGGATAGGGACTGATGGAGAAGAACAAAAGCCGAAGTCTGGCGGCTGGACATCTTTCATGATAAGGAAATGAGCAGTGGGTGTGGATGAGGAAGGGGGCAGAAATAAAAGAAATAAATGAACGTCTATGTATCATATGGGATGAAGGTGTCTTGCATTGGGCTTGGCGTTCGATTCATTCTCTCCTGTACTAGAACTAGGAGGTAAATATGGCCAAGCCGACGTCTCTCACTGTAGATTTGGCTTACTATTCCCAATCGCGTGTCAATGCTTCAGTGCTTTGAAGATTCTTAGATCTAACTGGGCAGATCATTCGGAATATAACGTTCGAGGACGGGATGTCAAAATGAAAGACACCATACTTTCGGCAAGATATGTACAAGAGGGTCTTGACCCCTTTTCCACATTCTAGACCTAATCTACGATTGTGCCAAATAGTTCTATGTCTTAAAGACTAGGAATCATTACCAAATACAGACAAATATGGGAACATATCAGAAGCATGTATAGTGCAGCACAACAATGATCCAGCTGGATTTTGAGAGGGGTCTCATAACGAAAGATGGTAGGTATCAACTTCAGAGAACCCCTTTCGAAGCTACTGATTGTTTTCAATGCCAATTCAACCAGAAATTAGCCCCACCAACAGGAGTAGTTTCATGCTAGTCTCTGAAATTCTGTATACACTCTCGCCTCAGTTTCCTGAAGGAATACACAATCGAGCCACGATCATCACTCGGAAATCGGAATACTGGAATAAATCCATTGCTAAGTAACACTGCACAGCCCAGTCGTACCCGAAGACTCGTGATTGGTCCAGCTGATACTTCTTCTCCTTTTCTGTCGAGTCCGTTAGCTAGCACCCCTGATATCCAATAGTCATTAGCTTACACCATTCATATTTTGCCTTCCATCTTCCATTTACACAACAGAAATTAAGCATAAACAATTCATCTGAACAATTTCCAACCACCATTCAACTCTAAGATTGACCTAGATCATCATCCCCACTATTTCCACAGCTGTCAGATTGTCCAATTGGTTATTGAAGCTATATATAGTAACGCCAAGCTGGTCTTACAAGCATAAATTGCTGATCTTCTAGAAAAGATTCTCCATTTTACTTATACAAGGCAACATAAACAAATGACGTTGAATACGAATACACTGGATAACCCAGTCCGATGTTTACACGACATCGAAGATACGAGGGAAAAAAACACTTCATATGCAAGTAAGTATTTACTAGGTATGCAAGAGGTCAGGGACTCGTAAATGTGGTGACGGTCGTTCTTGGCAATTGAATAAGTATCTCTTGTTTTCCCTTCTTGCCTCTTTCTATTTTGTCTCAATCTCTATTATATAATCTACCTCTCACTTCACATACTCAGAGTTCTTCATTGCACTCTATACAATCGTTTAAATTAATCTCTATTCATATCATCATCATGAAGTCAACATCTATTGCCCTCGCACTTGCGAGCACCCTCACCGGCGCAAACGCATACTGGAAAGGTTTCAACTCCCAAGCTACCCTCGGAAACGGTGCTTGCAAGACCCAAGCTGATTGGGAAAACGATTTCCGTCTCATTCAATCATTCCCCGGTGGATTCGACAGTTTGAGAGTCTACGCATCCTCGGATTGTAACACCATTGCCAACGTTGCCCCAGCTGCTATTGCCACCGGTGGAAAAGTTCTCTTGGGCGTTTGGACCGAGGATGCCGCTCATTACGATGCCGAGAAACAAGCTTTGTTGCACGCCGTTCAGACCTATGGTTTCGATTGGGTCGTTGCAGTATCTGTCGGCTCGGAAGATTTGTACAGAGGAGATACTACCGCTTCTACACTCGCACAACAGATCTATGACGTTAGAGGAATGTTGAGCACCGTTGCCGGATACAGTAGCGCAGTACAAGTTGGACATGTTGATACATGGACCATGTGGGCTGATGGAAGAAACGTCGATGTTATCAAAGCATGTGACTTCATCGGATTAGATGGTTACCCCTATTTCCAAAACACGCAAAACAACGATATCAGTCAGGGCTCTCAACTATTCTGGGACTCTGTAAACCAAGTCCGCACGACTGTTCAGAATGCTCAAAGTGGTGCTTGGGTTTGGGTTACCGAGAGTGGATGGCCTACTGCAGGTGCTCAGGAGAATGCGGCTATTGCATCGGTTGACAATGCTCGTACTTACTGGAAGAATGTTGCTTGCGAGGCATTCAACCAAGGACACACTTTCTGGTACTCTCTTCAGGACTTTGATGCCGTCCCATCGTTCGGTGTTGTAGATGGAAATGGTAACCTCAAGTATGATTTGAGCTGTTAAGATACAGGTTGAGTGGTGAAGAGAAATTGGACTGTCTATTGGTAGACTACTCAGTATAACTTGATTCTAATGTAATTATACACCCAAATTTACGATTAAGTAACAGTGTGATATTATCTCTGCGCTTTCCTTGGCAGACTGGTTTTCGTGATTGATTGAACCTCATGAATATTGTCAGAACACAATTCCGTTGATCTTTGCTCAAGCAATTGAAGGGAACCATTATGAAAGCGGAAACCCATCTCACTATCCTATTATTCTTTCTCGATTTGTTGGATCCACCCCTTGCTATATTAATACTTTTCCCCTCCAAAAGATTCTTCAAACTCTCCAGACTGAACTCATATAGATTGCCGATCTACAGGATCTCTCAACTGAAGGACTTGATTCAATTCCGGAGTACGTGCGTCCAAACAAGTCGAACAACACACTTCAAACCGGTAACATTTCACCATTAAACAGATCGACTTAAGAACTTGGTGTTTCTGTTTCGTTGAGTTGTTGATTGAAATGGTCAATCATCGAAGATGTGGATCTCGAGGGCCTAATTGACTGATTGGGCATACTCGCTCCGCCTTCATCGACTCTTAGAATGATGGTCAAGTCATCCATGGCGAGATCTCCTATTGGTATGATTTCGCTATTCTTGGAGGTTAGCTTTTATAATAATAAGGAATAGTATTATTATAATGATAGTGGAAGATCTAGTCAGTTTAAGCTTGAGGGATAAATCGAATATATAGAATAAGAGTTGAATTGAAGTCAATTTAGAAGAGCTAGGCTGAGTTGAGATGAATTGCTTGCTTTTTCCTAGATTTTCTTTAAAGAATATTCTAGGTTTATATAGTTTATAATGAAATTCCAGTATATTCTATGCTTATAAATAAGATCGATTTAAATCGTATCTTATAGAATCATTTTAGATAATAAAAAGAAAGTACAACCAATCAATTTAGCGATATTTCCTGTATACTTCCATCTAGTTCCATTTCATTCTATTCCATTATAAATCAATTTGATAAGAGATACTATTATACAACTATATGATAATATGATTTTATAATATAAGATCATATTATATGTGTATTAGTCATCAAGATATCTCTTATTTAGTAAGATATTAATAAGTGATTTAGTGGACTTATTATGAATCCTCACAGCTATTATGCATTACTCCTTCATATGTTCGTGCGCTTTGTGGTAGGTTTGAGTGTACATTCTCCTCAGATGTCGGGGTCATGTGTTCAAAAAGCCTAGTCGAGTTATTTCTCATAATTTCCGTACCAGCGTCTACTCTCGCTTCAGGCTGCATTACTGGAGAGATCGATACTGCAAAGCTGGGTTTAGCATCCCTAACAATGTTGGTATCGACAGGCTGTTGTAAATCTTGAAGGGTAGAGCTCTGAGATGATGCATATGGTTGTGATTGTATATTCCGACCAAGCTGGCATCCTCTGACTTCGCCGTCAATCAGATCATTAATGGAGTGGCGAAGCTGGCAATCTTCACACCTAATATCAGGGATTGGACGAATACTCCCACTCTGCTGCATCTTATTGTACTGCGGCTTGCTATCGCTCCTTTGGTTATGGCAACTATCGAGATAACTCATTTGCCAGATCCGGTATTGTTCAACTGCTCTTCGGGAGACTGGCGGATCGAAATATCCCTCTGCGACTGGAAATTCAAGTGATGGCGGAGAATTCTCGTCAGGGACTGTATGATTTATCAGATACATTCCATAAATTGCAATAGTTGGATTGCGTACAAAACTTCGTCCAGACTTGGCGCTCTACCATTGATTGGCGCATCTCTGGTGATAAGTCGTACTCTGTTTCCTCGACGGTGGAAAGTATTTCGTTGTAAGCCTGCATGAATGCAATCTGCGTGGCTCCTCTTTCTAATGCGTAGATCAAGATGCGGAATCTCATCGGAATATGGGCTTCATCTTTGTGGTTGTCTTGGGTTTTCATGGTGATGTGATATCGGGTCTTGAGAACCTTCTTTCAATGATCAATGATATTTTGACAAATGAAAATGATTTCTAACTTGGATCTGATGAGAGGGATAGATTCTCAAAGCGTGGGAGGGCTATGTTGATCTGTATCTTGGCTGTGTCTTCGAGGAGTGGTGATTCGAGATGAGAATCGCAAAGATCCTACCTCAAGGGCGGTCAAATGACAACGAGGCAGGTGTAGAGATGGACTTTGAAGTTATCGTCGCAACTTCCCCATCTAACAATTCAAAATCTACAACTCGAACTTTGAATTCAGCAAAGACGTCAGAACCTCAACGCATGAACCTCAGTTCATACCACAGTCTGACTAGAATATTACACCGGGTCTCCAAGCCGGCGAATAAATTCCTGTGGAAAATTACATGCCATCTTCTTCTAGTACCAACACGACCACAACAAAATGGTGCTTCGCCACCCTTTCACAGATACCAGAGCGTAAAGGCAGATTGGAGCAGCTATAATGCCATCGGCGGTGCTATTGCTCAACTTGAACATTACTGTCTTATTCTTCATTTTCTGATCTTCCATGGGGAAATTGTACAAAGATTTTGAAGAGCTTCTTTAGAATATGGATGGAGGCTTTGGATTGGTGATCGGTAAGAAACATCGATGCTATGGAGCTAGATATGCTTTGTATAAAATGTTTGTGTATCTGCTTTGAGTTTTATCATTGCCTCGGAACAGATTAATGCACAATATGATGCTTATGGATCTGAATACTCGTCATGGTCTGTGTTGTCTGTGTACAGAATCAACAGATTTCATGACGATGACGTTTCATTCTTGACTTGTATCTATCCTCAGAGGTACCTAGTAGGTAAGAGATCTAAAAAGGCTTTGATAAATACATAAGTTATCTCGCGTATTTCTGGGCCATTCTCAAAGCCGGGATGGGGATGTACTAGATAATGCAAAGACTGGTCGCCATCTCATCTCCAAATTGCCATACGCATCGATGATACTAAACATGAAGGGTTTCCAGGCAACGAAAGAAAGAACAGGACTTTGTAAAATCTCCTGTCATCATGAGCAATGGATTGTAGTTTTGAGTTTTGCACAACTACTCGTGGACCCACCAAAATATCGATTTTCATCCCATCTTCCCCACATCCTAACTTTAAAACAAAGTCGCCACACAACTTCAATGCGTAACATCACATCCTACGCTTCAGGGAGTTGTTCTCAATTGACTTGGCACTGTCTGATAGTCAAATAGATGAAAACACTAATAAACATCAGCTACTTTTACTATACTGGTGCTACAATTATCAATTTCGGAGAAGTACACTTTAATAGTCAAATTTCCTATGAACCGTACAGCACTTCACATGGATTTTTCAATTCAAGATAATTTTTGAATTTTATATTCACTATTTAATCTTTGAAATATTTGAAATCTTTAAAGTCTTTAAAATCTTTTGAAAAGACATTTTGAGTTGCAAAGTCCGTATGTAGGACTATACATGAGACGAAAAGCAGGATAGTATAAATGACTTTCGCGATATATTGTATTTGAATTAAACAACACGAATCCTGTTATGAAATAATCATGAATTAACTTTTATTTTTCAAAGTTTCTTGGCCAATGAGCTTCTAGCATCTGTATGAACCTGTTAGCAGGGAGAATAAATCGGACGATGGGAACTAAACGCATACCAAGCTTCGAAGTCTCTTTCCGTAAACATAAATCGGCACCGCCAGCATGCAAATACCTGCATTGATTAAACCGATAGTAATAAAAACGCTCTTTGCCCCAGCCGTATCTAGCCACCCATTAATAAAAGAGCTGGAGACAAACACCATAATCGCCTTGACGAAATTGATGGTTACAAATGCTTGGTTTGCATCTTTGGGATGGCAATCAATCACATATGTGAAGCTTGCTGAAGTCGCAAAGGGTACAGCTAAGGAATTGATCGTCATGAATGCTACGGGCCAATAGATAGGTAGTCCTCGTTCTACAGAGATACCGAAGCCGAAAAAGCCTATTGTAGAAAGAATGACTGCTGGTATCATCAGAGTTAAGCGGAACTCAGGCTCATAAACACCGTTATTGTGACGAGACATGAATGCAGCAATCTTATCCGCGGTCCAACCGGCCAACATTGTTGCGGCAATCCCCATGAAGAATTGGGGAAGATTTGTAAGACCAATTTGTGATGAAGATAAATTGTAAGGCGGAGCCGAGAAAATATTGACGGACAGGAGAGAGAAAGATATTAGCCATGTTTGAACTAAGGCACAAGATTAGCATACACTATTCATGGGCTCAAGTATGTGCCGACCTACATGATGCATGAACAAAGGTGCTGACAATAACGGCGGGGTAGACGATAAGCGGAATAGGTTTGATTGCGGTTTTCCAAAAGCCTGCGTCAGAGACACGACCGTTGTACAGAGAAAGTGTTTCAACAAATGTTTTCTTGGACTCTATTTCCTGGATTTCAATCTCCATTGTGGATTCTTTCTCCGAGATATGAGTGTGCTCAAGTATTTTTCGTTGGTATGAGGTCTCTGGAACAAAGAAGTATACCAGAGGAATGATTACTATGTAGCAAAGTGAGGTGATTCCAAAAGAAGCCGAAAATCCCATAGTTTCGATGATTACCCCTGAAATGACTTGACTGAAAATGATGAGTCTAAAAGCACCTAAAAAGCAGATTCAAGATGACTTACCCTAAAAGTGCACCTGTAAGAATAGCGAGTCCCCATACTGCCAGCTTTTGCCCTCGTTGATGAACGAAAAAGATATCGGACACTGTGGAGGTAACCAGCGTTTCTACCGGAGCACTAGCTGCACCTTGAATTGCCCGCATCACCGTTAAGGAAACGAGGCTCTGACTTGATGTTAAAGACTTTTCGGGGTTGTACAAAAATTGAGCTTACAGTGGCATAGAATCCCCAGACTGAAGTGATCAGCAGGACAACCATAGATATGATAAACATAGGTCGTTTCCCCCACACTGTCGCAGCAGCGGAAGTGAAGAATGTGAATGTACCCGTAACCAAAGTCAAAACCCCTACCAAAGCTATTGACACAGCGTTGAAGCTGACATGATATGTAGCAGCTACTTCCCCAAATCCTGGAGTAACCATAGGACCGAGTCTAAGTGTTGTTAGAATTACTCTACTGTTTACTGAGTAAGTAGGTATACATACGATACAGTAAGCCAGAGGCGATCGAAAGGATCCAAATAATAACATTTTTGCGAGTTGAAGACCTTGGACTCAATTAGTGATATACGATGTTCCGGGTCTCATCGGCAAATACCAGTTCAGAGGATCATTTACACTATCACTAGGTTGAGGGATGAGAATAATTGAGCCAGACTTTTTGATGTTGGGATCGACTTCAACACCATCTGCCAAATCGATGCCTTCTTTGTTGAATAAAGTGGTTCCCGGAACTTTCGTCAATTTGTAATCATCCAGCACACCCCAAGCCATGTTGACGCTCTCACAAACAAGCAAGTGATAGAGATGGGTATCGTCCAAGCCAGCTTGAATTTGAATATGATACTAGATGATGAAGTCTAGCTTGCACGTTGAAGAAATGGAAGAAATCGAGATGTGGCGGAGATCCAACATCTGCAAGTGCCAAGTCGCGGTCAAACCTCGTCCGCATATGTGCCGAAAGACGGGAAGGACCGTCACATACTAAAAGATGGTAATTCAGCAAATCAACTCATAGCAAATAGAAGGATGGAATCCACAGTTGAGGCTTGTTTATATGCCTGACGATCCATGTCTCCGTTGAAGTGGAAGCAAAGCTCGATAGCCAAAAATGTTCCCTCATTGCATAAACTTCATTGAACTTTGTACAGGGTATTGTAACTCGATGCTACAGTATGTGTGGGGCATTTTGGACGAAAATTGCCGGTGAAACTATACTCTGCTGCGGTTAATTTCTGGATGTGAGATTTTAGATTGTCGAACGGCGGGAATATGCAACACCTATTGAAACCCCTGGCTTCGTGCTGTCAAAATGAAAGTCAATTGCCGAGTAAAATGATTCGAAGTATAATTAAGCATCTTAGATCAGATGATCGAGACCCTTGCATGACTTTACTATGTTGAAATCGCGAGAAGTTTGCAACCATTATCAATACGGGCAAGTAGAAGTTTTTGAGGGTGGCATTCCACTCATTCCAGAAGGCGTTGGGAGGTGCGGCTGTCTCGGATTGATCCAATCTTCAAATGGGATTGCACTTTTCAGAATAGATGGTTTATTTATGGCCGGTAGCGATAATTTAGCAGGTAAACCTAGATAGAATCGGTAGTACACTCTTATTAGTCAAATCGTCGCAATCTCGACGTGAGGAAATCTCAGAATGCGGTAGTAGTAATACCATGATCCATTCGATGAAAATGTTCGAGGTTGATTTCATGGGGGTCTGTGCACATTTCGTGTGGGGCCAAGTGAGCGTGGGGCTGAGTAAGCAGGATAAGGTTAATCCAGACGACAACCCAATGTGACAACATAAAATAACAACTCGTGGAAAGTACCACCAGACATCCAGCATTACAGCAAGAAAATCAAGTGATATATTAGCTAAAATGTACTGAGGACTGTGAACGTTTTAGCAAAGATTTCTTGGCGATAGAAGGGATACGTCCAAAGTTGAGTGAAATGGTGAGATAGCACAACGTTTTTGCGAATTGGACTTGTGCAAACGAATGTGTGAAAGCTTTCTTGGATAGTGTACTTCCTAAAAGATGCGTCTCCTAAGTTGATAGACATAACCTTGTACAAAATATGGGCGACTGCATCATATATTGCGATCCTTGATGCTAGCATCATGACCTTGCTCTCTTCGACATCTTCAACTGCCCCCGGAATAGACTATGTCGATTCTGCGGTAGAACTACTTGTATGTATCTCTAGGGCTTCCTTGAAGCAGGTAAAGTATTTTCTGTCTACTGCCGATGAATTTCGGCTATCTGCTATTCACACCAGTGCTCAGCGGTAAATTGACGAATTCTGGTGTTTGCTTTTCTGATATACAGCTTGGAATTTTGACTTCAAATTCTTGCCATTGCTCTTCTATGTCAGGCCCAAGATGGTGATGATGAAAGCAGTCACCCGAACTAGCCAACCTATAAGTGAAAAGCACGTAGATACCACGATCGGCACCGGGAACCTTCTGGACAAATAGACTTTGAAATGCCCAGTGACTCTAGAAGACGCCGATTTCGTTAATAAAAACTTCTTCCAAGGAAAACCCGGTAATGCCTCTCCAATAAAATTGTCGCTAGTACCGATCCTATCAATAAGCTGTGTTTTGAATATTTTCCCATCTTTCGTATGCCTTCAATCCCTCATTCTAATCTTCCGTCTGTAATTATTACCCCTTTGATTTACTGTTTCCCTGCGGATTCAATGATTCGAGTATTTGTTTTTGTAAGCGGTGTATATACAGCCATGCGACTCTTTCACCCGAAGGGTCGCGGTTTTAACACACCGAAGAATACTTGTTTAGAAAAAATGCACGACTTTCGGAGAATAAGAGGACGTGGCGGGAACAGTTCCATAGTGAGGAGACTCGATAACGCGCAGATTTAAATGTTCAAACAAAAGCGCAATCTTATTTTATGACTGCTTAGTGTGCGCCGGGATCTAAAGAGTACAAATTGATGAATGTGGGAAATGCATTGTCAAATACTTTAGGTCGAAAAGTGCACAAGATTTGCTTGAGTATCGACAAGTATTTAGACTACCCATTAAATTCCTAACCAATTAGAGAGTTCATGTTCTGTATTGTTTGGGTAAATCTTATTGTACTCATTGGCCTTGTTGTAGATCTGGGAAATGTCGAAATTGATGTGATGAATTCATATGAGCCAGTGACCTTGCAAGCACAAATTGATATTACTAAAGGCACTCATAAACAGCTTATCATACATCAGTATCATCCGAAGGTTCTCGAAGCTTTTGAATGTGGCGCTAGAGTGAATTACGTCTCAACCATTTCATTTTGTTGCACATCTGAGGGATATCGAAATTGACGTCATACTAATTAGGGAGCCAATAGACTGCCGAGCGCAAGTTTATAGATGTAGTCTGAAGTTTATGAACGTGCGTTTAAGGTGAATCATATTGCCATCGAATTCTTTTGTTGCATATCTGAGGAACATCGAAATTGACGTCATGCTCATTGAGGACCCAATAGATTCACGAGCGCAAACATTTGAAGGTGAGAAGTCGCAGACTAGCGGCGGGAGCTATAACTAGCGTCGCACTACTTCCAGCAGCACGTTTGGAGACGCTCGTGGTTGACTGGGTGGTTTGAGACGTTGAAAAGTTTTGTTGCATATCTCAAAAAAAGACAAAGTTTCAGAGCTCAAAATCTCAAAAGGACCAATAACTGGGCGAGCGCAAAGTGTCCCAAGCTTTGCGCTCGCTTGTTTATTGGTCTCTTGGAAATCGTAATCTGCGGTTATTCCAAGCCAGAGGTCTAGAACTCTGGTGCGTTTTGAGCTAAGTGCAAATGCCGAAGCCCCCTGTCTTGTATCTGCCGCCTTTCCGCCTTCTGCACTTTTTCTGGCCCTCTAAGGTAAAGTTTTGGGATTCTAGACGTGCAACAAATCTTCCATAAGGCGGGATGGCGCCATAGAAGGTGAATGATGGGAAAAATGAGATGCGGGGTACTATTTTGTTGCATATCTGAAAGTTTGACAATTTTCTTAGCATCCCTTGGAATGGTTGGCTCTCGTTGAGCGCAAAGGGAAATGGAAGAGAAAAAAGTGACCAAAGCTTTGCGCTCGTCAGTCTATTGGATATATTCCAGAATCCGTAGATTTTTGTTGCACATCTGAAGGTTTGATCTTTTTGTTAGCGGCTTTTGGAATGGTTGGCTCTCGATGAGCGCAGAGGAATAGAAGAGCCTAGGCTTTGCGCTCGTAAGTCTATTGGGTACATTCCATGAATTTGGAAAGTTTTGTTGCATATCTGAATGTTTGATCTTTTTTTTAGCGTCTTTTGAAATGGTTGGCTCTCGTTGAGCGCAAAAGAAAACAGAAGAGAAAAAAGTGACCTAAGCTTTGCGCTCGAAAATCTATTGGTCTCAGGATATATAAGTGAAAGAAGAAAGCCAGATTGGAAGAAGGTCACACGTGATTAGGGTTTGTGAGGTCGCGGCTTCGCCATTCACCTTCAACCTCTTAAACTTGATTAGCTTGGAAAACCTTTCCCTTGAAATCTTGTTTAACCTCGACAAAATATATTGAGTGTGATCATCAAACGCCAACCATCGACGAGTCCGGCCATTTTCTTCAAAACTTATGTCCTGCACAGTATTTTACAACAATTTGGGTTGAAAGGAAAAAGGTTCGGCTTCGACACAACTTTACGACAGAAGGTAGGACTACGTGATGGGTAGAAATGCGACTTTGGCAATCTATGAGGACACACTGAACACCCGGAGATTGTGCGAGTGACATCGATACAAAGACGGAGATACAAGATTGCTGTGAAGATTTTCAACTTGTGCGACTTGTGTGACTCAAGTTGAGATGAAGTCTGATCAGCAGGCTTTTGCGACAAGAAGTAACTGGAGTCGATAGACGCTATAAATTCAGATACGACATTGATAGATATGGATTCCGAGGAGCATAAATTGACTAATGTAACAAAAATGCAGCTGAACTGCGTCGAAACAGCTTCACGATAAAGGCGAAGATGGGGTTTGTCGAACTTCAAACAAACACGATAGTAGTGCTTAGCAGACGCGAAGATAAGCTTCATAGGCCTTGGCCGGTTTGATTGCGTCTTGTTGCGACAAATGTGAAGAGTGATTTATGTGACTCAATGAGAACTTGGGAGAAATCACCTTGAACTGGATGCTCAATTGCGACAACAACACAAAAGGAGAAAGTAAGACAAGCATGGCCAGGACTGCCCGATAATACTCTTAAGATAGCAGGTACTAGACAGTGCGCTGTGGTCCTGAACGATATATGGAACGACGTGGGACACTTGATATTGACCGTTTCCACGATTTGGGAAGAAAATGCTGCAGCCACTTGAAGGAAACGGAACCTAACATTTTCTTGCACATGGTTCAGTGCACATACCATATTATGTTCGGTTTATTTTAGATTCCCCCCTTGGAAGAAAATCGAAAAATATATCAGCTTCAATAAATTTCGTCATACTTCACAACGATGATGAACTTCTATTTCAGCTCTAGCTGATGAAAGAGATTGAATGCTTGGTAAGTAATCTTACAGAATTTGATTGTATTCTAACAAGTCACCATGACCATCTGTACGAATGCGAAAGATGCGCAGAAGACACATGTTAATCGGAAGTAAACACTGAATCGACATTGATTAATCGGGAGGTACCTGCGGATAGCGGACGAATAATTACGGGGACCCTACGAGATACGCCATGAAGTCTAGATTGATGAATGGATGTGATGAACCACACTTGTCAATATTGAAGGAAAAGAGTGGTGAAAGCCGATGGATGCTATGGAAAGAGTCTTTCGAGGCACACTACTTGATGAGGAAACCTGACCCTGGCCTTACCACTCGCTTGCCTGGAAAAGTTCTGTAAAGGGCGAAAGGGGAAAGACAGAAAAGCAATGAATGAAAGAAGTAGCGGGTGCAGGAGAAAGATGAGGGGCAAGCGGAAGGCAAAGGATGCGAGGAGAATACAGGAGGTGGCAGTCTGCTTGAAGGAGACAAAAGACTCAAGCCCGAAACCAGCAAAGCCATTAACGCCTCTGAAGAAAGTTGACGGGAGCACACGAGCAATTCGAACGATCAGACTGTACTAATAACTAAGCGGAATGGGCTGGCTCATAAACAAGCTGCGAGAATACAATCCCTAGTTGGTACTCACAAGCTGATACATAGAAAAAGGAAACTTCCTCGCCGTCAGAAGGACTGGAACATGTGAGTTGTGACTGGTCCATACTGATTTACCCGAGTTTCAGGGCGGACTGTCTAAGCTACACGATAGATGATTCTGCAATATCTCAAGCTACCTAACCAACAAACAAATATAAAAGGGACTGACCCATACGGACCAAGCGTACTTCAAGTTGATCATACCCTGCTATCGATCTCCAAATGACAGAATGTCAGTGTAAGGAGTTAATTTGTCCGGAAGAGCGCTGCCCACAAATTCGAGACGCCAGTTTTTGGCTTAGAGCAAGGGCTTATGACGGATGAAGACAGGAATATTCATACTACTACATATGAATAGAATCCTATGGTGCACCAAAACGAAAATTAAAAAATAATACGCTCAAATGTCGAGAGGGCCGGCAGCTCTGCTTGTTCAGCATCTGAGACATCATAAGGGTGTGGAACCGAGTCTCTTTTTCTGATTTAGAAGTAGGTTATTGAGACAGCAGGTATGCTGAGAATGCTTGATTCAATGGGCTATTTTCACACTATGTTAGATCGGGTATGAGTCCATGGAAAGCTTCACACTCCCAGCTTTGTTTTGATGCTCTCACAATTGCTGATCTACTTTGATATGCACAAGTACCTAGCAAGCTTCTTGTGATTGATACCTGCTTTCTCTCTCAAAGATTTGATTCTTTTGCATTGTTGAATCACAGAATATACCACATTGACACGAAGCAGTATGGCCTCCGCACCTCACCACAATTGGGAGCGGAGAAGCCTGAGGCTGGGAGAGCGTGAGCTGATTTCGGAAAGTGAATATAAAATGTTCAGACCCAGGCTGTTCTTCATTAATATATAGTCATTCCAAACCTCCCCGAATCTTCTTCCAATTTATCTTAACCCTTTTCAACAGAGAAATCACAAAATAAGTTCAAAACTTAAAAGCTTATAGGCTCACCTACCGAGTTAGTCTCTCCCCAAAATTGTGGACAGAGCTTCAAAGACTCTGACTAAGTTTGTAAACTAGTGGCAGAGATTATACGCTCCTCAGAACAAGATTTGATGATATCATCATTATCCATCTTCTCTTTACATCTCCCTGACCCAGAAGGCAAAATCGTAGCTCAGATCCTGGACCCTATAAAGACCGACAAGCTTGAAACATTTCACTATTTTCCATCCCTGATCAAGGAGCTACAAATCAAGATATGGGAAATTCGCTTTTCCTCCTCCACGAAGAGTCGAAGTACGACCCAATCGCTTCTGCCGCCAAAAGGAGCCTCACTGCACTTCATGTAAATGCAGAGCCAAGCACACGGCTCCTTTGCCCATAACACTGTATGTCAATCAGCAAAGTCGAGAGGAGACACTCAGACACTATCGACTTGTTTGGATGACGCCAGAAACACAAGGCACTTTCAACGGCAAAGTAAAACCTCTTTGCTTCGATCCATCACGCGACTTTTTGTACACAGACATTTTCGACATGATGTGTTGTACTCGTTCTGATTGGATGGCTCCATTGATCGCCAATCGATTCCTGAAGAGAGATTGCTTCAAAGATGTGAGAGTGTTGGAGGTTCGCTCTTGGCAATGGCATCATGATATCGGCGAATCTCTAAAAACGCCATATTGCGTTGCATTAGAAGTCTTCACACAACTTGAGGAAATACGCCTCATGCTACATCATCCATCGCAATACCTTCCAAAGTTCTGTGCAGATTGTAGAAGCAGGCATGGAGGGAGGCCGTGGACAAAATCTATGGAAAAGAAAAGTATAGATGCGATGACCGCATTTTTTCAGCGCATTCATGATGATACCGCCGTCGGTGAACAGCTCGCTGAGTGGGGATTTCAGTCACATACTAAACATGAGATTGCGGAAGTCAAGATTCCTAAAGTTGTTGTTGTTCCATGGACTAGACGATGTTAAGTGGGCTATGCGCTAGTCGAAAGTTAGGTGCACTTCTGGCTCCTCTTCATGGAGCGCTACCAAAGTGATACGGGGCTGACAATTAAAATTGCGCTTAGCGGGTTCGGATAGTGCGATGAGTTTATAGCAGAATAACGTTGAATTTTTACATCATCTCTTTACATGTGCAGATGCTTTCTTGTTGAGGCGCTTGAAGATTTTACCAATATCAAGAGACCTTTCGTATTTTCATGGCAACATTTTCCCAGGCTTCCCCTTCCCTTACTCTTCCTGCTCCGCCATGAACCCCAAACACTCTTACAGCCTTTGGCATCCACCATTTTCTCGTCGCGTTAATCTTTCTCGTATCTCGAGAAAAATTCACAACGCCAAATCTTTGCTTTACAGCTTTTAATTCGGAGATTTCGAGCCTAGTCACCCTTGGTTTCCCTACAAAGTTCATCGTAGTGATATCGACCTGTGCATCTTTTGGTGGGTTCCTTGAGTATCTCATCAATAGATCCCGTGAATTACGAGCGAAATTGGGCAGCCTGAGATGGATGTAATTGACAAATGGCGATGTTATATATGCCACGAACACCACTGGAACAGCTCCAGATAGTAGAACTTGGAATTATATTAGTTTCTGAGAGAAAAAAGGACTCGGTAGTCTTTGATGACATTGCTTCATTTAAATTCCGCAGAATTCGTAATCTTAGCATTAACTTACCAGCAGGTGCCACCCATTCAGGTTCATCCTCCGCATAGTAATGTGCTGGCGCTACAACTAGAGTAAAAAATACAAATATGAAAATAGTTGTAACTTTCAAGCAGCCAAGAAACACTGTTCTTCCAGTCCCAGAATGATAGATAAGTAGACGTTCGGGATATGCTATTTACAGTTAGTTTAAATAACACAAAGGGGCAGATGTACTGACCGGGCCTTTTGCTTGCATATTGTGGTGTTGGTACAGGTTGTGGTGTTGCTGCTCGTGGTATTTTATTTTTTGTAATCTGACTAGCGTATCTGAAACCAGCTGTTCGAAGACATGATAAGGGTCTCTGGATAGCCAGCCCTCTGGGCGCCGTTAATCGTGCGAGCAATGTTATCATTGCAATTGATCACGGGTATGGCGAGGGGAAAGAATGTCGTCAAGAAAATATATTTGGGAATGAAGTATCAATCAATCATTATTCTGCTTGTGGCCGAATAGCTGATCCAATGTCAAATCGAATCTCAATATCTGGCAGCTGTGTAATATTTCAAATATTGTTTAAATGGATACAGCATAGAAATAATTTGATACAATGGCCAAGCGCGTTTGACGCCACGGGCCGCGATATTTAGCCGCGGTTACATATCTCGGTATCATTGTAACAGATTACCGTTAGACTTTAGGAACGAATAGTATTTGCTCACACAACATTTGGGGAAGTATGATATTGCGGAGATATTGCAGATAAAAACAAGAGGCGCTCGCCTTTTCACTCGGTATAATGATTTCACAATACATCGGAACAATCGCTTTCTTGATTTGCAGCATCTTGAGTATCAACGTCACGGCATACACTCCCTTATCCGATGAGACATTCCATAGTCTCCCATCTGCAGACGCAGATTTTGACATACATAATGGGGCCATTCTTTCCCCGATTTTGATCCCTAGAGTCCCAGGAACCCCAGGAATCCAAACTGTTCAAAGACACTTCGTTGATTTCTTTACAACGCATCTTCCGGAATGGACAATTGAATTCCAAAACTCGACTTCGAAGACTCCCGTCACCGGTGACAAACAAGTACCATTTGTTAATATTATTATAACGCGCGATCCTCCTTGGGCGAAATCTGGAGATGTTGGAAGATTGGCCTTGGTTGCACATTACGATAGCAAACTCACCCCTACAGGATTTATTGGCGCAACTGACAGTGCAGCTCCGTGTGCGATGATTATGCACGCAGCTAGAAGCGTGGATCAGGCATTGACGAATAAATGGGAGGCTATGAAAACGGCGGGTGATATTGGTTTGGAGGAAGAAAAGGGTGTTCAAATACTTTTCCTCGACGGCGAAGAAGCATTCCTGAGCTGGACTAATGATGATTCTCTTTATGGCGCAAGGTGAGTGATTTTTTCCCAATCCGCACAAATCGCAAACTAACTCATTCAGGGCATTGGCGGAAACATGGGAAGCGACAGCTCATGCAGCTATGTCGAGTTACAAAAATCCATTGGACTCGATTAGCTTATTCCTTCTTCTTGATCTTCTTGGGCACGAAAATCCAAGCATTCCTTCATATTTCGAAACTACACATTGGGCATACAAAAGTCTTGCTACCATCGAAAATCGTTTACGATGGCTTGGGATAGCTCAAACAAAAGCCGAACAACATTTCCTTCCCGATGTCAGTCGGACTGCCTTTTCTGGTTTTGGTGGTGTACAGGATGATCATATACCTTTTATGGCCCGTGGTGTGGAAATTTTACACATGATACCTAACCCATTCCCGAGCGTTTGGCATCATATTGAGGATGACGGGGAGCATTTAGACATGCGTACAGTAGAGGATTGGGCCAAAATGCTAACAGCGTTTGTTGCTGAATGGATGGATCTGGAGGGACATTTTCCATCGAAGGCACAAGCGGAAGCAAAGCAGGCAAAGAGAGACACTACTTCTGATAGAAAGACTGAACTGTGAGTTGTTCATAGTCACTTTGTAGCTTCCAAAACTCGTATTAATTTTGCAGTAGTAATGAGACTTAGGGATGCCAACTGGATACATCGTTTCAGTCAAATGATGTCTGCTTATTCGAGTGGATTTTCTTGCTATTCCTGTCTCATTGTGCCGCGGAAAAGTGATATTAACTGAGATTTACAAAAGCTTCATGACATCGAAACTATGTTTTTGCTCAACACACATCCTATTTTACTTACCGTAAACAAAATGTAATAGGCAAGAACTAATTCTCTGGTCGTTGTTTGCCCACTTCGCCTTGTGTTATTACTGCATTTACTCATCTGCTTCATGATCTTTTCGAGTCTTTTGTATCATGCCATCTTGACTAACTCTCGCCGAACTCGAATTATGATGAAATTATAACTGGATGCAAATACTTTATTTCCAGTCACTGCCGTAATTCTCTCAGAGGTATCAGTCTTTCACTGGAACGAGCCAATCAACACCAGACTCAGCACGAACAAGTTTCGAATCAGACCAATTGTTGAATTCTAGACTTTGTCAAGCAGGGCGATTGGCTTTGTTACTGGTTACCAGAAATCTGTCCACAAAGAACCGTCAAAATTCAGAATTTTAACGCAGCTCGATGAAGCTACAGAGAAGTATCACGAGTGGCATACGAAACTAAGATGACTCTAGGGCCGGTAAAAATAACCCTGGACCAGGGAACATCTACGATACAGCATATGAGGCTGTTTGATGTCAATGGCCTAATGTGACATTAAAAATAGGTAATTAATGAAAGCGACTAAGGATATTGTGTCTCTCTTGAGTAACTTCTTACATTACCCTCGCCTTTGAGAACCGATCTGTACCATCGCCTACCTCAAAGGATCAGGGCACACTTCACTCTCGAGGGAATCCCATCGGTTTAGTATGCTTTCCCTTAAAGTTTTCATTCTTTTCCGAACGTTTAGGCTCCTCTTAAGCATTGAAGCATGAAGGAGGAAGTTATAAGGGGAGAAATCGCAGTACCGACAAGAATTCATGGTATCAAAATTATTGTGCAGATGCACATGGGAGCAGAAATATTGGCATAAGTACCGAGGGATAGGCCAGATGGTCATGAGTTCGATGTGTGCAAGTTTCTCTTGATATCTGGAGTAGCTACTTGGAGGGTGGGATCACGTTTCAGATTGGCACCCGCCGAGGCTGTAGCTCAGGTGTTGGAATCATGTATGTCCATGATGCATAGAATACGGTGATGGCATCGCTGCTGTGTAGGTTCAGATTTGGGCACGGTTTTGATTTTCAGTCAGGATAGATACTTCAATCTTAGGCGTTGGACGGTTGACGTGATCTACTCTGGTTCAGCTTAAAACTCTCGGGCTTTAAAGTTCAACGGTTTCAATTTTTGCAGCACAGAATCGATATCTCATCCATTAATAATTATAGTTCTCACTACGCGGCTCACTCACAAGCATACTCAAGTTCAATTATAGGTCCAGAATGAAAACAATATATATAAGCTAAGTATGGCCTCAAAGAAATGACTGTCTCTACCTGGGATCAGTACTGAAAAGCTGTATTCAGCAGCAAGAAAATAATTCATGACATGAATTCCTGTCAAAATATGTACAACAAATTGTCAATACTCAAAAACACAAACTATCACTTATCCCGAAGCACCGGAAGTACAGGTAAGGCCCGTTGATTTATCAACATTTGCGCACAGAAAAGTGGCAGAACCAGATGCTGGAGCAACAGACCAAGATGAGAAATTAATATTACATGTTCCGCCCCTTGGGCAGTCCAGATTCGCTACATCTGGAGAATATTTTGAGCTTGTCGTTCCTTTAAAATTTGTGAAATGTACGTCTGTGACTGAGGCCGTGCTGGGACTGCTGGCACAATAAGTTGCGTCTTCGTTGTAGCAACTTTGGATTTGAGCTGCCCAATCACTGTTCTTTACTGTAACATCATTGAAGGTTACGTTGCTGACGATTGCTGATCCGTGTGAGCTTCCCCCAGGATACAGCTTGATGCCAACGGCTTTGGTAGAATTGACCATCGTTGCCCCAGTGACGTATATGTTTGTTACTGAATCGGTTGTGCCTGCTTTGTTTCCAAGAGAACCAACCGAGAGTCCATGTGATCCAGTACAAGTAATGGTATTCACAGTTGTGTAGTTTGCTCCAGGCTTAAAAGCTACACAATCATCTTGATTTGTAACTGTGATGTTGTTTAATGAAACAAATGTCGAGTCACCAACGTCGAATCCGTCTGTATTTTTTGGAGCCGTTGTCGATTTCGAAGCTGCTGTCATTGTCAAGTCAGAATATGCCGACATTTTCGAACCTCCAGTAACACTAAAGAAGACGTTGGGTGGATTCTTGACCCTGAGGTTCTTGATGGCGATATTGGAAGATGCCCCGGTTATGTAGTGTAATGTTGGGCGAGCATATGAAGAGTTGATAGCGAAATAATCGTATGCTGCTTGCCCATTTCCATCTATCACTCCGGTTCCAGTGACGGATTGAATAGTTGCTTTGTTGATGCCATTCATATAGAAAATAGCTCGTTTTCCATCCCAAAAGTTCAAATCGTCCGAGACTTTGAGTGTGCCTTCGATATTGAGGGTGCACCCAGCACACCCCTTGAAGTCGACAACACTATTTATTGCATACTGTACGCCCGGCCGGAATTGAATGACTCCGCCACTTCCACATGATGAGATGGCGGCAGCAATGGCTGGAACGTCATCGGTTCCGGAATTTCCAGCAGAAGCAGGAGTGCAAGTCGCACGTTTTGCAAGACTGACACCGTTCGCTTCGTTCCTCACTGCAGTTGGTGATGCATAGGCGGATAAGAAGAGCGATGTTGCTAAAGCCAAAAGCTCAAATTTGTGATGCATGGTTGCAGATGTAGTGGTAGAGATCGAACAACAAATTCGAAGAGCACAAATTTATATTCACGGCTGACTGTCTTGGATGGCTCAACGGGTACTTTCGTTCACTTAAATGAATTAATCTATGTGGAAACATTTGCTTGATGATTACAAAACAACCCCTCGAAGAAGAGGAAGGGAGTTGAAGGTATTGTCCATTTCTGGAGTATTTCCACGTATAGACATCTTATTCCTGTTACAATTTAGGAAAGGATCAACTCAACTTGTTTGTTTCGAGGCGTTTAAATCCTTCTGTTTCATACCCCTTCTCGCCCTTCACTACGAAGGTTGTAAGGGTAATTAATGTAAACCCCACTTATACTCGTAAAATCTTACTGTTTTATAGATTTTGCTGCTGCTTTGAGCGATTCGAATAGATATTGAGCTGTTCCCCCCCAATATTCAATCTTTGAAGCTTTTACTTGCTTTTTATCAATTCTGATAGTTTTTTAGTATTTGAGTTATTTGAAGTTTCTGATAAGTTCTAAATAGATTCTAGATAGAATTTCGAATTAAAATTCAATAAGAAATTAGAGATTTTAAATAAATTATAAATAAAACATGACTTTTATAATACTTCCACCACCTAGAATTCACCATATAATTTTTCAACCAGCAATATAATTCTATTGATTTAAGAGCTAGACATGGGGATATATTTAGGTGCATTTATATTATTTACCCTTCCAATCTCCGTATGTTCCTGCGATACGAAGGTTAAAAATGCTTTTGAACCTCCGTACGATCCGCAAAAACGTTGCGTAAATTGCAGGGTCATGAATTGAGCCTGAATACAGGACCGTCATGTGGCATGTGCGTGGTCACTATCGCCCCCTCAATATACCGAGAGCGACTTGTTCTCACCCTGATATTTAAATGAAGTACCGACGTGTGGATTCTCGAGATGTTTCCGTTACCACTCAAACGGAAATTGAGGATTGATTCCCCGCGAAATAAGCACATTGATGATATTTCCGTACCATTCCCTGCGAATATACCAGCGGATGTATCCATTTACAGTATTTTCGCCTGAGGGAATCAGAGAGGTAGATTTGAAATCTCAATTGGAGCGGTGAGGAGTTGAACGAGCTTCATTTCTTGGCTAGATCTAGGAAAACTAGATTATATATAAATAAGTACTGTTACTGTTGCATCTAGAGCACGCTTCTCAATTTTCATCAATCAACTTCACAGTTTGCTGTTAAAGTCTATCTTTGAAACCATGGCAGCTTTCAAATACATCCCTAGTTTCTTACTTGCCATTTTCTTGTTTGTCGGTTCCATAGATGCATCAGCAGTACTGCACAAAAGAGCCGGCCGAACTAGCCCACCGTCTGGATGCCTAACAGTGAGAGGGAGTGGTACTCTCTCCGGCGAATATAGCACAGTTGGGGCTGCTTTGACTGCGCTTGGGTCGTCGACTACTACTGCTTGCATATTCATATACAGTGGAACATACAACGAGCAATTGACGATCAGTTACGGAGGAAACCTCACTGTCTATGGATATACCACAAAGTAAAAGCCCTTTGACAATCTCGGGGGGCAAGCAACTAACTCGTGCCAGCACTGGGACATACAAAAGCAACACAGTAACAATTACGCATGGCATTAATTCCACAACTATTGGCCTCGATGCTAGCTCTACAGTTAATATCAGAAGCGCCAATTTCAAGGCCTATAATATCAACTTTGCAAATACCTATGGAGCCGGAGTTCAGGTTCGCTATTTTACTCAAGCTGCATTTTCTAGCAGTGAACAATTGACTAACATGACCATTCCTAGGCCGTTGCTGTAACCGCCAATGGAGACCAACAAGGATATTATGGATGCTCATTTACTGGCTACCAAGATACTTTGTATGCCAAAGCTGGCAAGCAATATTACTCAAATTGTTATATTGAAGGTAAGGTTTGATACTGGAAGAATACAGATGGAGATTGCTGACTATAAAAGGGGCTGTGGATTATATATTTGGAAATGCTGCTGCTTGGTTCGGTGAATGTATGTTATCTCGAACAATGCAACAATCAAATAGATGCCAGCAAAGTGTTCTAACCCATTTACAGGTACAATTGCTTCGAACGGAGGTGGTGCAATCACCGCAAGTTCCAGGACACTTGCCACTGATTCTTCTTGGTATATTATTGACAGTAGTACCGTAGGAAATTCCAACTCTTGCCCCGAAGAAATCTCTAAACTTTTGTAGATCACCCAAGCAGACGGATTCAGTCTGACAGGAAAGGTCTATCTCGGCCGACCATGGCGAGCGCTTGCTCGTGTAATCTTCCAGAACTCTGTATTGACAGACGTGGTTAACGCAGCGGGGTGGACTACACTTGCCGCTGATGCCACACCGTACGTTTCACCCCAAGTTTTATTCGATGGAAAATGCTGACATGAGTTAGAATATTTATGGAATATGCCAATACCGGAGCTGGCTCAAGCACATCTGCGAGAGTTTATGTGAGTAAAATAGACATATGAACGGATTTAGAAAATTATGCTTACTATTGATCTAGGAAACGGCTGCTACTGGAACAGTCAGCAAGACCACATTGTGGGGAAGTAACTGGGCTTCTTGGATTGATTCTTCATATTGAGTTGAAGTGTTGAGAAAGAAGGTTGAAATAATTGTTATCAATTAAATTATTCTCCGCGACTTAATCCGGATAACTTGTCCAATCTTGTTGCTCGTAATTATAAGATGCTTTGTACCTGGATCCTTTGCAATCACTTCTTCTCCAATTGACACACAACAACAATCATATCCATAGAAATGCTAACCCCTTTTCTCGTCTCCAGTACCGCTTTGTTGAACGCCAGTCTATAAGCTGTTCTTTCCCCAAGTGCTCTCTCCGAAACGACATATCCCAGATCTTCAAGGCCCATCAAATAATTGTCCGTTGTCATTTGTCTCAATATGTCATTACAAGGAAGGCGGAAATTGTCGACGACTTTCAGACCTTGTTGGTTACATATCTCTGCCAGATTGGAGATCCACCTGGCCGTCAAAAGAGGTTTGGTTAGCTATTTTCCTGACTGACTTGGTGGTTGATAGAATCAACGACTTACCCAAAATCTAGATCACTCTTCTTGCACATGTCTTGGAAACTATCTATAACTAGTTCCATATTCACTTTGGTGTGAATTCACTTGGGAATGGGCACTGAAAGATGCAGAATCCATCTCATCCCATTGAAGATATCCTCCCGGCTCTGATATTTCATACATGGATTAGTTTTCCAATCTTCTCACCCATCTTGTCGAAGTATGATATGATGTAATTACTCAGCATAGCAATAAGATTGTCAGCAACACTCCAGGGTGGTCCCCTTTTACAACAATTGTAAAAGCCCTAATATGAACAACATCGAATTTTCCCCTGAGGTGTTCTGGCAACGTTCCAAAAGCATCGAGAATCTCTAGCTTCATGTTCGAGGGGAGATATGCTTTTGCTGGAAAAAGCTCGCTGGATATGTCGAAACCATGAGTTGGACATTGGGAGAGACTTTCTGTGATAATTCTAGCAGCCAATCTCTGCATTCATAAAAGTTTAGCTTAGTGTTGGTATCCAGTTGACTTGTTGGCAAAATACTTACGCACTGCCAATTCCTACATCGGCAATGGAGAACATAATCCTCTCTTTGGGGAGCCGCCGGCACAAGAATTGACGGGTGAAGTAGCCATCCCAAGCGTATGTTCCACAGCAGATGTTGAATATGAAGTCTATTCAAGTCAGTAAAAAGCCGACTACCCTCGATTAGATCTAGGGAATAGCTACCGTGCCGAATCTCGAAATCCACGACTAAACATATAATCCTCCTGAACTTTGTTCTCACCCATCGTGATGTCGAAAGTTATGCTGGTGATTAGAGTACTATTCAATGGTGGCCTCTCAATGCAATCTTGTCTGTTCTGGTTGAGTCAAAGGAGCAGGAGGCTTCCACACTGCAGAGACAAACTTTGTTATTGTGCTATCTCATTAGCTTATAGTTCCTTGAGTGGGGTATCACCAGTATCCCTCATTCATGAGCATTCCTGCGTGTTATCAGACTCCAGTAATGCGTCTCGAGAAATTAGCTTACAGCTGTGGTGTACCGTGGTTTAATTGCTGTTTCGGGGACTGACCTCCGATCGATAATTTTCTATTCATGTCCTAGCTACTTCTATCGTATGAATCTGGAAACACTTGCAGGTGTGCTTGTTTAATGTATGATGCTTTGCTTGACTTGCTCAGTGCTTCCATCCTTCCAGGGAATGATTGGAAATAACACGCTATTTAGTATAAATCCTGACTATTTCCTGGTATAACTTCTTGAGAAATATATAATTACACGAGAAAGAACCCGGACGTGCGTAGCATCTGGTCAGGGGCTCCTGAGAGTCAACGCATTGAAGACGAAAGATCCTTGACGAATATTTGTGATTGCTCGATTATGACTGGTTCCACAGTATTACCAGGGGTGCTCTCTAACAGTTGGGAATGTAAGGGCTTCTTTCGATATAACGAAATGACTGAAGTTGATCTAGTAATAAGGACCTGGCGAACATAGAAGTTAGGGCGGGGGGACGTAATCTAATGCAGAATTGGGGGTTTGACCCCTGGGTATATTCTTATCCCCTTTTGCATATAACTATATATAGTGTGGTATCCGTCAATCATTATCTATACCCTAGAATATATCCTCGTAAAACAGGGATAGAACTAGATCAATTTGATAGAATAGAGCTACATCTCCATTCATAAGTTGTGGCCACTCTGACAGATACAGAAGGAGAGAAGCTTTCCCTCTTCCTTGAATCCACATTGCCCAGCTATAACCCCATAAAGCTGTACCACCATTAAGTGACCTGATCACTGTCAGACCCCGTTGATCCTGGAAATTCCCCACTTGCGGGGATTTGGGGGGCGCGGAGCAATCTTCCGTCGACAATTTCTTCATGCAATGTATTGTCCTGTACTTTTAGGGCTGTGCCGCATCGCTTCTATTACTTTGATGTTGCCAACTATTTACCTCACTCAACCGGAAATCTAGTCATGTGCGTGTACTAGGCCGGTCATTTCTGCGCATTTTTCTTAACTCGCGGCTAAGAGACCTTGTCGTGATGTTATTTCCAGAGCCCAAATCAATCTATTCAAGCCGTGTCATCGGTGAAAACATTAATGTCAAGGACTTCATGATTATGAAGACGAAAACCAAAGGCCGATATCAGTCAAAAATGTAGCGTCAGATTTTGGACTACAAATCTGTATAGTAGTCTACTCGGATGGGTCATACGCGGTTGAGATGAGAATTACGTCCTTTCCCGTTTTTTTGTAAAACCCGTTGACGACAATTCCTGGTTTCCTGAATTTCCATACACGTTTCCCACCCTCAAATTAAAACAGGCTAAACACCCATTGTGACGTTAGCAAACAATTTGAAATTGGACCCAGAGGATCGGTATCAAACCCTGGCATGATAATTATTGCAGTTTCTTGATTGGCTGCCATAATATTGCAGTTCATCGTAAGAGTCGTTATTTTTGCAAGTCCTATTGTTTTACGACTGCGACTGGCTCAAAAGAAATGTAGGCATTTGTACCCAGCTGCAAACCTTTGTAACGTTTGTTTGATAAATCTCGCATAGAGAGTCCCTTTTGGTAGCTTTCATTCACCCTCATAAGGGGCAGCGCCCTAATCATTGATATTCTCTCCTGGTCGAAGTCATTACTTTCGTCCGTGGACGGAAAACAATGATCCTGATGCAACCCACACTTCGCACAAGGTTCTTCTACAATTAAATACACTATACTACACCAATATGAATCTCTTTGGGCGGCAAGCGATAGAAGGTGCTCTTCCTCCACCACCTGGAGTGACTCCGAATTTTGACAACTCACCTAGCATTGCTAAATATAATGTTTCTTTGTCAGGCCGTCTGTGTACCGGTTGTCACTGTATTCGTAGTCATACGATTGTATACGAGAGTCTTTATACATCGAAAAACAACGGGAGATGACTGTAAGCTTTACAATCCTAAACCTCGAAAAACTTACTGATGTGAGAAGATTCTTGCATAGTGGCTTGGGTAAGTCATCTTAGCGACACATTTACTGAAGCTTCAAAAGGCTGATTGGGCATGCAGGTTGGCACCATTATATATTCTGGAATGGCATTATCCTGCAAGTTCTCAAGCAGAAGACACATACACAAATGACGCTAATAAACGATAGTGAACCAGTATGGCGCTGGAGTGCACCAATGGGATGTTCCAGCTACAGATATCAAAATGTTTGGAAAAGTGAGTTAAAGAAATACACGAAGTCAAACTGTATTGACGTCGCATGCAAAGTTAGTTTATGTGACTCAGATGTTGTACGGGCCGCAAGTCTTTGCGACCAAGGTCGCAATTCTACTTCTATTGTCTCGCATATTTGGCGTCAGCAATAAGATGTTGTGGGCGATACGAGTGCTGATCGGCTTGATGGCACTATACTATGTTCCTGCAACAGCAGCAAAGATATTCATATGCTGGCCGGTCGCCCATTTCTGGGATCCTCTAGCCAGGAAAGGCACTTGTCTTAACGAGAACTCGATATTCCTTGCTGATTGTGCCATGAGCATTATTAGTGATTTTACGATTTTGTTCCTACCAATACCACTGATTTGGGGATTGAAAACTCGTACAATGCGGAAGATTGGGGTCTCGATCGTGTTTGGAGCCGGCATTTTGTATGTATCTTCCGCAAATAGAAACGCAGTCTAACAACTTTCAACAGAGCCTGCACCGCAAGTGTTCTGCGTCTTTATGAAACACTACATCTTGGGGGTACTCTGGACAAGACTTATGGTCTAGTACCTATACTCCTCTGGAGGCAAGTGAGACTTCTTAAGGTATTACAGAGTATTGACTTACATACATACATAGTATTGCTGAGGTGAACATCGGCATTATCTGCGGCTGTTTGCCATTTCTCCCATCCTTCATTAAAATGACGTTCTTCAAGTCTCCAAGCCCGAACGATTCCACCGAAAACAGTAGTTATTATCGTCTGGAACGAATATCAAAACCAAAGCGCAACGTTGATAATTCTATCTTACGAACACAAACGAGAATGGACGATTCGGATGAGCGCTTAAACGTGGAACAATCTACACTTGCACAAGTTAATCAAGGCAACATATAGGAAAAGGGGCTGGGATAATGAAGGAGATAGAAATCGATCAAAGGATTTGATAGGTGACAGTAGTTTTCAAATTAAATATGTAGTAGTGTTCCTGACCAGTATGCTTGCTGTTGGTCTTTGGCTCTTGTCCCTATGCCGATCCTGATGTTTGGCCAGCAATATTGCAAAGCTTGGGACGGTTTTTCTGTCTTGTCTTTCCTGGCTGGTTTCTGTGTCGGTAGTCGAAAAGGATGCATAGCCTTCATCAAGATTATATTGCGTCCCTGTAAGGTTGAGAAATATACATGTCATATGATTGCAAATATCATATGCTCGGAGGCCATTCGTTGACACACGGTATGATGGTCAATTTCCATCTTGAACTCCAAGCCTTCCACGCTTCAGAAGGTCTATGAATCTTCCATTCTCTCGTCCATCAATTTCATCATTTCATCCTCTTCATCGACCTTCTTGCTATGACCATTACTCGTCCCATTACTTGGTCCCAGCCCTCGTTTCGCCAGTTCTTCCATAATATCATCTTTAGCAATCATCATCTTCTCCCCAAATATTTCTTTCCCCCTCCGTGCCACGCCCTCTAAACTCCTCATCCCAACTACCAAGAACCCTAACTCCTCCCTCTCAACATCAAACACCTCCCACCATTCATCTTCTGGCATTTTGATTCCCTCTTCCTTTGCTGCTAGGTATACTGCCGCCACTGCTAATGCGCATGGCTGATGTGTCAAGTATAGCATCTGCGGACTGAGCAACGCTGTGTTGAGATATTGTATGGTCTTCTTCGCAACCGCTTTGCCACTGCCATTTTTGTGTGCCGGTGAAAATATATCGAGAGTTTGGAGATATGTAATTGCGAGGGGATGGGGAAGAGCGACGTGTGTATTGAATCCCAGAGCATTCAAGACTTGGCCTTCAATGTTGAGGAGTCGTGTACGGTAGTTTATGTAGGCAGATTCGGAAAGATAGTACGACGAGGGATTATTTTCGGGCACGTAAGAATTTGCGAGAGTTGCGGATTGAGAGAGGAGATAAGCATATACATTCGTTATACTGCGAAAGGATCGAGGAGACGCGGATACTTTAGCAGTTAGGTAGAGGGTAGCTGCTGAGACATCCTGAGAACATGTTATTCTAAGAAATCAATGATAGACTTCCAATTCATCACGTACGCTATATTCATATTGCATCAAGTCATCCACAAGCCAATATCTGTAGAGAAGAACATTTGCTTGAGCTGTGATGTCTTGGGGAAGGCCAAGCAGAATGCCTGCGGCTTGCGTAAGTCGTGCGGTATAAAACCGGATGCTGTCTTGAAGTTCAGATGGAAGGCTGTTGTTTGAGGTATTTTGGTATAATTGTTGAGCTGTTTGCAAGAGGATTATAAGGTGTGACATGATTGCTGGTTGTAAACAAATGAGGAAATGTAGGTCGCGACGTGGTTGAGGTTTGGATGCTAGAAATTGTAGCCTTTTGCGCAAGGCTGCCATTTTTTCCCACAGCAGCCAATCTTCAACTCCAACACTGTGAAATAGCAAGCTTTGAACGAACGCTTTTACGACTTTTTATTGTTATTAATATCTATGAAATACCGCTGGTACCAGAGGAATCTTTATTATGTTATATACCAAATACAAACCCAACTCCCTTGCTGCCTAGATGCCAAGAGGGCAATTCTCACTATGTTAGGAGACTTCAGAAAACCCCCTCCGGTCCGAGATAAGTACCCATGATCTCAAGTCCTCGAACATTGTCCTTCGAAACCACCTCGTTGCCTGCTTTCAAAAATTGAAGAATGACATCGACTGCCCAATAAACAGTATTCTCAACTGTGTCATCGACAGTAGTTCTAACAAACACGCCGTCGACATTCTCCTTTCCGGCCTCTCTTAACAGCCAACCGAATGAATCTTCATAACCCTTCCAAACAACTTCTTCAAAGTATCCTTCTGACTTCCACATCTGTCCAGGACATCTTCCACCAGCTGGAAAGTCGATGTATGGGAACCTGCTCAATCTCCTCTCTTTAGCGACCTCCTTGCTAGTAGGCAAGAATAGTTTGATATCAAATTCTTGCATTAAAGCTGCCTTTGCCACGACCATCTTCTCCTTCGTTCTCATCATAGAATCTTCCTTCAATGCAGCTTCTTTCTCGAATTTTTGTCGTACGTTTTCTGATCGCCCTGCGCAACGGTCTTCGACCTCTGAGGATGCATCCAGCCATGTGCTTCTGTCGTCAGAAGGCAAAGTTTTGCTGAATAATAGAAATCCCTCAACAAATACCCATCCATAGTTATAGTCCGCAACAACATCGTTTCTCATATGATTACCTATTCCAACAGCTAAGCACTCTCTAACCCTTCTGCGCATGCTTTCGATCACCCCGGAATATTGCTCAATCAGTTTCTTCTTGTCTGCGTCATCTTTATATTGAACACAGATTTCTGACTCGGGAGTATTGGCCTGCGCAGCTTGAACCATTCGAAGTAGATTGCTAAAATTGACCGCTTCCATACAATCAGTATTTGGTCCGGTGATCTGTACATTTCTTCCCCATTCGTGCCAGTTCGGGCGTAGAAATAGACTGGGTTTTCGTTCTTTTGAGCAAGACTTTCTTTTACAAAACGTTTGTCGTTGGGAGTGCTGTTAAATTGGACCAATGGACAGTCAGCTTTCGGAATGAAGAAAGCGTCCTGATGGATTATGGTTGTAAAGGGATGTGTAGCTTTTGCATCGCCTAGCTTATTTTCCTTGGATATATGTGGAGATTTATTTTCTGTCGAGTGTTTTGTACTTGGAGAAGAGAAGATCTCTGAAATTAGTAATGCCAACGTTGTTTTGCCTGATGAGGTGCATCCTGAGATAGCTACAGTGAGCGCTTTGGGGGTAATTTGAATGACACTACATTCTTTTGTTGTTAGGTGTGGCTCTGGTGATTCAAGTCTCTCCAGTGCTTCAACAGAGTATAACATTTCTTTTTGCTGGCTAGGATGATAGAAAGAAGGGTTGGTGGTTGTGAATTCTTGAGACTCCATGGCTTGAAATCTTCAAATAAGACCAAATTTGTAACAACCTGAGATCAGTCTTACTCAAGGATAATTTTGGGACTATTCTGACTAGATGTAGGAAAGTCGCAACCGCTGTATCATAAGGTAAACAATCAGCTTCAATAGTCTCTGTCGTCTTTCGAAGAGGTTTAAACTACTGTTTATATCGGCCTGGTCGAAGAAAGTATTTCTTTGATATATAACGAGGATTCAGTATTGCCACAACGTGGTTTATTCTATAGAGTGAATCATGAAGTCAGGATTAATTTTTCAATCTTCACGTGGATGACTGTCGATCAAGGGTTAAGTGGCATTAACCTACCAAGGTGTACATCGCTGTTTGAAACACACTGAGTAAATCTACGGAAAGAGTCAATATAATAATCTAACTGCGTTTTGGTCTTTGTGCGTGTTCGCTTGAATCATCATCGGGCGACATCGAGATTCCACCCACCACTCGCAAGCAGCCTCTGTATCCGACAGTCAGCCAAATGTAACAAGATTCGTACGAACCAAATCCTCATACACTTGCCATTTAAAATGCTTCAGAAGACTCGCACTTAGTTTGGTTCTAATCCCCGTATTGTTCTATAGATTAATCAAAAATAACAGGAGAAAGCTAATTAGGAAATCACTCGACATAAAGGTTTCGGCAGGACCACATCAAGATCGATACAAAAGCTTCTACATTCTTGAAGTACGAATGAAATATATATAAGGCCCAATGTCTTCTGTTACAAAACCTCAAATATCCACGAAATTATAGCTTGATCCAAGGTTAGAGCCAAGGCAGGAAAGGCAACGTAGGAAAAAACCAAAATATACATAAAAAATTCATGCGATCAAGACACTGCCATGCCATCCTGATAAGAAGTCTTGCGTTGGATTCATGATACTTTTAGTCTTGTTGTTTGAAAGCTCTTTCACTCAAAGATTCTTGGCGAGTAGGTATTAAACAGGCAAATAGGTTAAAGCAACAACAGCATTCAACAAGCACGCAGGTCTGTACCGGTTTTTATTGTGAAACCCCTTGGTTTCCGAATACGCAATGCTATTGAAAGATTGAAATAAGAGTAATTATTGGAGCCAGCCCTATAATGTAACTTTTGCCATCTTTGATTACCAATGAATCCCTGTTCCCGCCAGGTTCATGCTGTCCATGCTACCTCTTCGTGTGTTTACTGTCTCCCAAGAATCCTTCGATACTAGGATTGCCTCCGATCAACTGTAGATCTCACTATTAGCTCGGTGATACTGGCTATAAAAGAAATTATGCAGAACGATAAGAAATTTGCGTTTGAAGAACCAGAAGACTTACACTGATACCAACTAGACTCCACCTAAGACACACAAAAAACTCACATCCGAGGTGCTTTTGACCTGCATATCACCAGGTCTCGAGTACGACTCAGTACAGGGAAATGGTGCCATGATGCAACCAGATGCATCCCCGTGAGCTTTAGGCACTAGATATCGGATGCCTGAGTTATCGCAACAATTGTCAACCGCAGAAACAGCATAATAGCTTTCTCCTTGCCAGCCCTGGAATGTAATTTCACCAGTGACTTTGGGAACGTTTGGAGTTTCTCCTGGAAGAACAGCTTTGAAGGAGCCGCTCCAGCTAAATTAAGTTTTCATTAGTAACTTGAAGACTTGATATCTGATAGGTAGTGGACTTACCCTTGAGGAAATTGGACAACAACTGCATATTTGTCCACAGGCTTCGCAGGAAGAAAGAGGCTGGGAACTTCAGCAGAACCGGTATTTGGGGTAAAGAAGACGGTGCGCTCGGTGGTGTCTTGAGAGAAAAATTCCAAGCTATTTGCCATGACAGAAGCAAGGAGCGAGAAGATAGAGATCATAAGAATAGTGATACTGTTGAGACGAGACATATCGTAAGAGGTCAAATGAGGATTTAGCGAACGAGAATACCTTATAATGGAAAGAGTAAGGTTTTAGGATCAAATCGATCAATGATGAGAATTTGATTGTCTGTTGTTCCGATGGATGGAGGAGAGGAATTTTGTGATTAAAGAGAGGAAATTTTGGAGAAGGCCGAGTGCGAGTTTATAAGGAAGAGGAGGAGCCAAAGACTAAGGCACTACTCCAGGCGAAACAAATTTCCAGTCAAATCTGGAGTGGTCGGCGGAGAGTGAATTGCTTCCTTTAAGGTGAATTGACAAAAGTCGTGCAATAATTTATGTCTTTGACGAAAAACCATGCCACAAAAAGGAGAGTTTGGAAAAATTGATACTAGTGTATTGAATGAGAATTCTATGAATTTTCAGACATAAATTTTGGATACTAGAGTAAGAGATGTGACCTGAATTATAAGTGATCACAATGTAATAAAGATGGGTTTCAGTGAGCAGGGGTGCTTAATGAATATCTAGCTCTCCTGCAAACGGCGATCTGCCGCAGACTATCTGTAAGGATCACTCACCAACCAGAATCTTACAGCCTGGAAACAGTTATGCTATCTCTTATTACTTAGCGGTTGAAGTGAAGAACTAATTCTTCGGAGTATGATGCACGGAAAAGCAGGACTTGTCAAAACCGACGTTTTCAGTCTCCTTAGAACATTAATTTTTTTTAGATATCGCCTGGTACCAAAGATAATGCAGTCCGGAAATACCTATATTACTTAATTTGAATATGGACTTAGCTCAAATCATCAATATACAGGTGCCTGGTATTTCCTCACGACTCACGTGATACTATGTTCACATAAGATATTTCGATGCCGAGACTAACAATGTCAGAATTGGGAATGTCGGAATTCGAGAAGATGAAGGACCACTATATGTAGAAGCTACACTTAGGTTGTTATGATAAGAAGAAGTAGGTATGAGAAGAAAGATAAGACGAACAAGCTATCAATGCCGAAAACCGCGGTGTCGAAAGTTTTCAAAAGTAGTCCATTCTAAAAGAAACCTTGGAAGAACACGTCCTACGGAAATCAGAAGCTATGATTTATTGCCGGGCTCCTGTACAGCGGAAGTTGCATATGGTATCGCTATGTAATGAGGTGGTATGAATTATTCCTACTTTGAATACCTAGTCACTCCACACACCGATACATCCCCTATTTCGGTACCCCCACCCTTTGCAATCAAGCGAGAAAACGAAGCCACGGATTAACAAGACACAATTTATAAATCCAAATCCAAGCATTTTTAAAATAAATACACCCAAAACGTTGTATTTCCGGCAAACATGGAGAAGAGGGTGCGTCAGATTTGGCTTGTGAATGGATGGATGGAAAATTCTTTATCCAAAAAGGTAAAAAGCAAATGCAACCACGGCGAATCGAACGCCGACCTCCACCTTGGAAGGGTGGAATCCTAACCATTGGACTATAGAAGCTACCATGATGATAAAGGTTTACTTGATTTCTTGTTAACGGAACTCTATTTTGATTACATATTACCTACTTGTGCCTTGTGGGTGGAGATGTGTGGAGTCAAATGGGTGTGTGGAGATCAAATTAGTCATATCCGTGCTTCAATGTCAAGGATTTGATGTTTAAATTTTGGAAGACTTGACCTTCCTCAATCTATAATAGAAGACCTCAAACGTGCGCACATTGACCTTTGGTTCCGCTCCCTTGAGTTTTTTGATTTCTCGAGTCGGGCTCGAAAAATGGCTCGGTCCAATCACTTCCCTTTCCTCAACCATTAAAAATCGGGTGACTCGCACACAGTCTATAGCATAAACTTTGAGATTATTGAGCACCAAAAAGTGTACAATAAATCAAAAAGATTGAAGATAAATAGAAAAAGATCGCAAATCCCTTCCCACCCTTTTATTCTTCAATGCTTGTAACAGAACTATTGCCCGACATTGATTCGTTACCTGCTTATAACAAACGTTAGAAGAGAGTTGTGATAAAATCTGGCAGGACTTATCCGTAGAGCACCTTCCAAAGTAGTCATGGAAGCCCATAGCAGTTACCGAAAGTTGGTAGCTTTGCTAATTCTTCACTTGACTTCTTGTCCCAAATTTGAAGGCAGTCCTCATATCTGGTAACATGAATAATCCATAATCCATTCAAACGCTTGCAAGATACACTTATCAAACCGGTATGAACATTTTTCGACAAGGTTGATCACATTTCTCGTGGCCTTCAGTTTTTGTTTCATGGTCTAACGTATCAAGTTCTCCAAAAGACTTTTAATTAACCACCTCACGTTTCCATCGATATTCCCAATTGCTTGTCGCTATTTGAATCGCACTATCACCTCGATTCAATAAGCCATTGGCGATGATGATCCTTCAAGGCCATCGCTCCAACTCCCTATCCTCTGACGATGAAATCGCCATATCTGCACATCAAGAAGCCAGACAAGGTCCTCGACGAGACCCTAAGCCATGGGCCCGTGATTCACCTTTTTTTTCGCATAATTCTGAGCGGCAAGCGAATCTTACACCTTTCAATACAATGCATATGCCCCGTCTAGATTCAGTGGGCAGTCAAGAACGTCGCTCACATATGCCTATCTGGGAGCCTCTATATATGGAAGAAACTCCAGATAAAACGGAACAAGATGAGACACCCAGAAGCCGAGCGTCAACGGATGCCAATGGTTCGAAAGTGTTCATCAAGAATCCTTTCTCTGGTGGTGATGACGGAGATGAGAGTAGCATGGACCACGGTTGTTGCGCTTGGAATTTGTGCTTGTCCCTTATGACCGCGAATTGGATGTCTCGTGCAATGTGAGGCAATCGTTTGGATGCTACTGGCATTTTCATAAGTTGCTATCTCGGAAGGAATGAACGAAAGAAATTGTGCGTGTTAGGATTACCTTTCTTAGGGTGGATTAGGTAGAATCATTATCCAAGGAAAATCAGTACTCAAGGCTTCATTCAAATACAATATGATCAAAGGTTTATGCTGATATTATTCCACGAGGGTATGTATGGTATTGTTTACTGGTTTTTCTACGGAAGTGGAAGTATCCTTGTAGTGGGCTTCGCATCTTCTTGTTTATGAGAGCGGCATGATGTAAGGTGAAGTCACTTTTGCCCAGATCTGACTTTCGCTTGCCTTATTTAATGGGCCACGTTAACGATAATACCGATGGTCATCGGCAATTTTGTTCCTCCTATTCCCTTCCCCAGGGGCGAGTTCCATATTACTGGTCCACCAAAGTAGGGGAAGTAAGAGTTTATGCACTCCATCCGTTATCTCATTCATTGATGTTTGCAGAATTCTGTCAATTGCCTGTAGGAAATTCTCATAAGGGAATAGATTTGCCCTTTTTACTATTGTTAACCAAGAACCCTCTACTTGTCTTTATTTGAGATCATTTCTCTTGAAAGAGGGCCTTAATATTCTGCGCAACTATTACTAAGAAGCTGTCTCTTGTTGTGAAAAAAAAGTTGCGAGTAGTAGGTAAATAGGATGAAGTTGATAAGTGCATAGTGAATCACAATGATTCTTCCCTTTACGAAATTTGCAAATTCGTTTATTAGAGCCATGAGTTTGCAGCGTGCTTGTTTATGTTTAAGCGCTTGTATATTAGGATTATATCTGCTCACCTGTTTGATCAACCATACATTCAGCCGTTTAGTTTCGAGTTCCTATCAAGATGTAATATCACTCAGCAGTGCTCTTGTGTGAAAAGGGCACCTAGAAGCATTCAATCAGACTAAAGATTCTACGCCCATTCCGTGTTCCAGTTACTCAGGAAGTGAATTTATACAGGATGCTTTTATAATAGACCCTTTCAAGGTTTCCGTAGTATCAACTGAACTCATTATCTCCCGCGGTTCCCTAGAAGCAGCATATTGTCGCCATGAGAGTTCTGAGAGTATAACGGAGCAGCTTTTAGCTGTTTTCTTCTTCACCATACTTGGTAGTGGCTTGAGAAATTAGACATCATTATGATAGCATTTGGTTGAATCTCGAAAATTCACTTGTAGTAAATTAAATGAGATCTCGCTAACCGTCTTTAATTTTACGCGTTCAATTTGCAGCTTTTTGGCTCCACTAAAAACTGACACGGCAGCTTCGAGATTTATGACTTGATATAATCTCGCACTTTTCAGAATTTGGACCTGCAACAATTACAAAGTAATAAACTCCAGATCTCAAAGACCAAGTTCACATTCACAAAACATTCAATTTTCAACAACTCTTTGAACATACCTTTCAATTTTCTCTACTTACTAGTAAACTCTCAAAATCACACATTTGTTTGACAGATCATTCTACAAATTGCCAACATGGATTTCACCACCAAGAATACAGCTTCTGGAGATGCTCGCCGCACACGGGGTTCCACTTCGTCATCGCCAAGAAACACCCGCAAGCATGATGTCGAGTCCGACAACAACGATGAGCAGCACACCACCAAGCGTACCAGACGCGAGGAGGCCCCGGCCACTCCTTCCAAAAAGTCAGCCAACCATCCCCAACGAAAAAGCGAAGGTAAATCTAAGCCAATCTTGTTTACAACTTCGCGCGTCGCAGGCTCCACTGGTAATATCTCTGCTGGTCCATCTGATGGCCCTCGCGGTCATGATTCTCCTTCCCCTGCTACTAATGATCACCACATGGTTGACCCAGTCACCCAGGATACCACATCCACAGCTTCTCAGGATATTTTGAAGAAGCAAGATCATGAACGTCTCAAACAACTTCTTCATCAGAAAGATGAAGAAATCATGAGATTAAAAATCAAGCTTGAGGTCAGAGAAGAACTTGACGGCGAGGATGCTGCTCGTGAGTTGAAGCTAAAAGATACAATTGAGAAGTACCGTTCAGACGCCGAATACTGGAAAGAAAGGAGTTCTGGCGGTCTTGAAAGCTATCATATTTTGCAAGAGAAACACGAAATTCTTGAAGTCAAGCTTGAGACAGTTACGACTGAGCTACAGGTGAAAAATAAAACCCTCGAAGCCGAACACGAAGCAGTCAAGGCTGAGCTTGAAGGGCAATGTACTGTTGTGGCAATACAGGAAACAGAGCTGGCTGAATTACAAGAGAAATACGATACACTGGAAGCCAAATACAAGACACTCAAAGCTATAGACGTTAACCAGGCTTCTTATGTTTTGTTTGAGGGTCGAAAAGTGAGATCTCCCTCATCTTGAGGGTTTAATGCTCCGCTAACTTTGCTCAGTCTCCTGAATTTATATCTGTTAATCCCGATAAACCACTTTTTACAGACGAGGAGCTAGCAGCAAAGCGACAGGAGCTTGCGGACCAAGACGCTGCCGAGTTGCAGAAAGCTTTGGATGATCGCCGTAACAACGTCGTCAAGGACTGCGATGTTGTTATCCAGTCCATTGAAGTGTTCCCGGAAGATATGAGATCCAGCGAAGTACCTGAAGAAGCGACTGATGCAGGCTCGAGGTCATCAAACCCAAAGGTAAAAACATTTTCACTGCAACCCTGAAGATCTCCTAGAGGCTCCAGCTATCCTTGATTTTCTTTTGCTGATATTGTGATAAATTCAGAGAACTGGCTCTTCTGTTCCTCTCAGATATGCCACACCATCAGTCACCGCCAAGTCACCGGACCCACCCAACACTTACGAGTCTAATGTTCGTTTGTGGGATACACCTGACAGACCTCTTTTTCCTGGTCCGATTGAGGAATCTACATAGGTATCTTTACATATCCAAAGTCAGTTACCACTTCCTGTCCTAGACTTCCTTGTACAAAGCGCAGCAACTAACTTGAAGATATCTGCAGGCAGTAGATGGTCCATTCGATCAGCATGTCTAATACATGACGCGAATCGCCCGAGCAACGAAGCAAGACCGTCGATTACGAGGAAATGTTCAAACTGCCCAGAGGGAGTCAGGACGCCTTGGGAGTGGCTCTACCAAGGCGGATTCAGCTCTAATGGGCAGATGAATGATTCCAAAGTTTCGGTCCCGTCTGCCGAGGGCTCAATGTCGACAAACCATACGAAGAGACTCATCACAAAGAACATACAGCTACCTGCGGCATAATCGATCGTGTTGACTCGAGTTGAATCTTTAGTTGTCTTTGAGCTTTGAACGGAGACGTCCTGACAAAACTTGAAGCAACTTCAGATTTTGCATCCTGTCCCTGATCCCAAACCACCCTTACTTGGTAATTCGTTCCGGTCAATTTCTTAACTCGACTCTACTACACATATTACAACTACACCTTGGATCTAATGATAATCAAATTTCACAACTCAATCTTCCGATCACATCATTCTCATTGTCTGCTCTGTTACAGTCAATATCTCAACATGGTGGACATCCTTCTGCCTATCTCACGGCCACGTCCGGCTTTGATATTAGGAGTAAGATGCCCGTCGACTTCGAAAATATTCACGACTTTTTGGTCCGTTCCAAAACTCAATGTTGCTGCTCGCAGCCCCCAATTCTAAGGTCCACGACTACAGCACCTTATCTTCGCACGTTCTGCTTCTTACTGTTGATATGTGCTATGGTTTAGGGACGCGGTTTTCCCGAATCCATCGTGTGCCCACAAATGATGGTGGATGTTGTAGATTGCCTGCAGGACCCTGCGGTGAAGGATACTCTATGTTTTAGATATTTCTCTAAGTCTGTGTGCCAATTCCAGGCTCATGATGACGGCTGTGGCAACACATGTTTTGGTCATTTTTGTATGGTTCTACATGTTTGTAGTTCTTGATGTCCACGGCTGCGATTGGAATCCCACCGATGGTAGAAGTTGTATATAGTACTAGCTACATATTAGATATTGTCTAAAATCTTGATTTACATCCATAAGTCTATATACCATGCCGTGAACAATCTCATCTATCTTGTTCGTGTCTAATTTTGCCCACTAACCACTTCCCGTAGAACACCTCTTGATTCCTACCTAGATCTTGAGTATTGGACCCTCTTACATGAATTCAAGATGAAAATGTAGGTCTAATCACCACTATGCCTCTCTGTCAAACCACAGTCCCAGTCTTGTGACTTCCCTGAACCAAGAGGCCAAACTCATATCTTGGCATCAGTCTTACAAGAATCATTCACTGTCTATTACTAAGTTATAATGAGCAATGAAGGCGGAGTAAATCGTAACCCGCCTTTCAATTCCAACTAACCACTGATATCAAGACACTGAGAAACGTGCTCATACCACAATAGGCAGGCAACAGTACGGGCGTCATACATAGATGCAATTTCCCGTAATGAAAGATTTGTTGAGTCATATAATAAGTGAATTAGACGCCTGAATTCTCGATTTTCCCCGAGATGAAAGGCGCAGCACGAATTTCCGCGGCTTTTACTTTCTATCAAGCTCCTCTTCCTGTTTCACCACCACCGACAGTCAAATTACCCCTCAATAGCAAATAAGAGAATCCATTATTGCATAGCATTATCCAATTACCATAAGTGAAGCTATCAGAATAACATGAGCGCCCCTGGTCTTCCACAACTACCTCGGTACTTACTGGGTTTTTGTTGGGAGGTCGCCGTAGAAAAACTCAGCGAAATGATAGTTTGAAGTGAATGAATATCATCAAAAGCCTCAAAAGTGAATATGGCTAACGCTCAGCCGATCAGAGTTTTCATCAAGTTTGATTAGCGAGTTCTTTCTTGCGCACAAAAGCATCCTCTTCTTTCTCAGAAATTTTCCCAACCTCCATCCTCTTTACATCCAAAAAATTCAGAATCCATTCAAAGCATCCTTCATACTTGACAACTGTCGTACTACTTGCAAACACTCAATCAATCCAACCCGTACAACATTACAACACGCTTTGCGTATTCTGACTCTTTTACAACTCCTCTTTTACTTTACCATAAGAAAATCCTTCTCTCTTGAAAACAGACCGCTTCTCCATACGTCCTATTCATACACAAGTCTTTTTTTACTTTACGTGTTACCCAACACCACATAACAACAACTTCACCAAGCACTTCTTGAGAGCACCTCGTCTCTCACAAGTACTTATTAATTACTTCAAACTACAACGGTAGTTGCAGAACCTCCTCTTTTTACCATCAACCATTAAGCCTTGTTCTTCACGAATCATGCCTGCCGTTACACGCTCAAAGTCTCCTTGCAAGAAGGCATCGGCCGATCAAAGTCAAGCCTCCTCATCCGCCGCGAATACCTCCGCGAATGTCGCACCGGTCGCAAACATGCAAGCACCCGCAAATGGAGCTCTAGCTGGTGTTAATAATGCAGTAAGTCCCATCTGTTTATCAATCGCACATTCTTTGATACCCGATCATGTTCCCCTATCTTGACCCCACTTTACATCTCATCAACGTGAATGTTCCTTGCTTCTGGAAGCTTCATGTCTTCATTTTGACACATCTTTTTCGTTCCGCACACCATACAACAAGACATTGCCATAGCATCATCTTATTTGATCACATGCTCAATTTAATCATGACACTTGCTGACTCCATATTTGCAGTTTTCCGATGCCATGGTTCCAGTCTTGGCGCCGCTCTCTCCTTCCAAGAGAAAGAGAAGCGCAAAGACTCTCAGCGATGACGAAGGCGTTAGCGCGCAACCTTCTGAGCCTATGAAGAGAATACGGGTCGAGAGGAGTGATACCCCTCGTTCCCACCTAACAAGTGGTCAACCTGATTTGGCTGCAACAACTTATTCTCAAGTGGAGAGGGTAGTTCTTGGTCTTGAAGACACACCAGTATTTGGCGCTACTGGTGGTGCTCCCAAGGAGGGTCTTGATGCTGCTGCATCAACTCCCACATCCTCTCCAAAGTCCGTCGAAACCACGGCCACCGCTCCAGTTTTGGACGGCGAAGGAAATGGTGCCATGGCAAAGGCACCAATTTCTGCGGTCTCTCCAAAGATTGGTATCACCAATACCTGCAAGTGTGATGAGCTTGCTACCAAGTTGGAAGAGATTACTGGCCTGAAGGCTGCTGTTGCAAAGGCCGAAAACGACGCTGTTGCCGCAGAAGAGCAAATAGCAAGATCTCAAGCGTATTTCCAGGAGAAATTCAAAGAGGCTGTGGAAGAGACAAATGCTATTGAGATCTCGGAAAAGAAGACTCGTGCGGAGTATAACAGAATCCGAAACAACATGAGAGACCATTTACAGTCAACTCACCAGCTCCGACTTGAGAACGAGCGACTTTCTGAACAAAACCGAATTCTTTCTGACCTTTATGAAGGTCAGAAGAGAGAGAAGGAGGAACTCGCCGAGAGAAACACGGAGCTCATGGAGGACATTGCACAGTATCGTGAGGTCTTCGATTTGATGAATAAACGAGTTCCTATCCTCACTGCAGATCAGGTAGAACTCAAGCAAACGAAGAAGCTTCTTGCGGCCGAAAAAGTGAAGAACGCGGAATATGAGGGTCAGTTTCAGGAGTCAGCTGAGTTTTTCGGTGCAAATAAGGTGGTTAAGAGCATCGAACCAGTTGATCCAGCTCAAGGAGGTATGTTCCACGAAAATCATAATTATGAGGAATATGCCCAGGAAGATCGCTCCCGTCGTTATCGCACACCAACACCTGCTGGCACTCAAAAGTCCCATCGAGCTTCTAGTTTAGTCGGCTTTCGGGAATCATCTAGGTGGGAGTGTCTTCATGACCGTGGCTACAACGGAAATACCTGTCGCCACTGTGGCGACCACGTTCTCGCCGAGGGACATCCCGAGTTTGATCGTGAGAGATCCGTTGCCCCAGCTGATGACTTACCACCCAGTTTCAGTGATGAAGAAGAAGAGTGCAACCGTGAAAGCGCTTCTTATGAACCAGAAGAAGCGGTCATCAATAACCAGGATGAACCTGGAAAGGTCGGTTCCCCAGTCCTCACTGGCAATGAGGATTATGAAGACAACGACCAGGAGGATGGACCTCAGGATGATGGTGCCTCAGATCTTTATGATTATGAGCATTATGAGAATGAAAATCAACAGGATCATCAGGAATCTCTTAATCCTGCTGCGGCAGTTGAAAAGACGACTTCTGCACCTTCTGAGTCCCACCCTTCTTCCTCTCCTTCTCCCTCATCTTCCAAGAAGAGAAAGGGAAGTCCTGTCAGCGCATCGAGCCCTGCCAAAAAGGTCAAGTCAACCGAAACCGAATTGGCTGGTCCTAGCAGTCCTGCTGCGCCACGTGTGATCATCGACTTCAAGCCTGCAAATTCAGGCTGGGGATCCCCAAGCGTTCTTTCCCCACAGGTTGCTGTCACTGCCCCAGCACTTTCAACTCCATCTTCAGCATCCTCGTTCCCGACCGTCATCACTCGGTCCGGAGCTGCAGTTCAATTTGGAGCTGCGACAGCCTTTGGTGCCATTGGCACCGCTGGACCCTCTGTTCGCTTTGGAGCTACTAACTCATTCGGAGTTCCAGCTTTATCGGCAAAAAGCTCTTCGGTCGCTGCTTCCCCTAAGGAGGATAATGCTGAAGAAGACAAGCCAGCTGATCAGAATAAGTAAGTGGAAATCCC